GATTTTTCTTTCCTTTTTTTTTTTATAAAAAATGGCAATCCTATTACTATTAGTACACAAACTGAGAAAAGACCAAAATTACTGGATCAATACCTGAATCTCACAAAACTTAGTGGGCGTAAAAGGGAATTGCATATTAGTTAAGGGGGGTGAAAAGAGAATTCGGCCCGTGAAATGGACTTGACTTGAGCAGCATAATGGACCACGTGCAAACGTGTCGACTTTTTAGAGGATAATAACCCACCTTTAAAATTAAATTCTCTAGTACAGCCGTACAGGAGCCAGGACAAGGGTACCATTTTTATTTTTATTTTTATTTTCTGGATTAAGGCAAAGTCCAATGATTTTATTTATTTTTTTCATTTCAATTACACTTTCATTCAAATTGGTCAAATTATTTCCTCATTTTTTTCCTATTTCCAAGACTTCTTGGTTGCAATTGGATATAATTTTTTTTATTAATTATCCGGCCAAGGTTTATTTATTTTTGACTGAAGATGAAATTAAAGTTTTCAAAAAAAATATATATATATATATATTTCATCTCGTTTTTCTATAAAATTACCATAAATAATGTTTAAAAAATAAAAATTAATTATTATTATTAACTTTAATTATTACATTTTTATTCTATATCCAGTCACAATTTCAAAGTTATCTAACTCTCTAAAAATATTTTTCTTTTCACTTTGTAAGCAATTTTTTTTTTTAATATCTTATAAGTTATATCCTAGTTTTGAAGCTAGTTGAGCTCATATTTCAATTTTTTTTTATCACGTTCTCTTACCTAATTAGCGCATGCAACAAAATTATATTATTAAAAACTACATTTAATTTTTAACAAATGCTCCTTTAACAATTTAGTAATCCCTCCATCCGTTAACTATTACATGTCAATCTAGAGAAAATATAAAAAAATAACAATAATTCATGTCTTACCTTTTATATATCAATCTAATCTTCAATTTAAAATATTAAAATATTATTTAAAACAACAAATAATTAGCAGCAAATTATCAAATCTAAAACTACAATTAGAAGTAAACGGGCAAGTAGAATATTCTTACTAGCATATTAGTTCCATAGTACCTATACACCAAATGCTGTCCTAGTGGACGTTATTGTCTCTGTAAATTATATATGGACTTTTAAAAAATTATTTGAAAAAATCAATATATATTGTAAAACATAAACGTTGATATCGTCAATTAACTTGGTCATATTTGAAATAATGAATGATTTCCTTTCCAGTAGTCACACACATCCAATCATGCTATATACTTTGTCCTCCAAATGGTGGGCATGTTAATCAGAAATTAATTTTACCAAATTAGGCCAATACTTATCCCCGTCTATATTTTGTGCATCTATCATAAGTTGCAATTTGCAACATCAATATAAATCAGTAGAATGTGTGTGCATTGTATATATGTGGGCGGATATTATTAACATATGTGCTAAGTATAAAACTGAACACAATTTAATTCGTGGTGGATAGTTAGCAATTTCGCATTATATATAGGACTTTCATGACATATGTATGTACTCAGGTGAGTATATAACTGAAATTTCTTGGGATTGTGACATGTGAGTCGTAAGCGCATCTTAATGTATTCACCGTGAATAATGCGGTTGGTGAACAATTTTTGATATATTCACTGTGTGGATAGGTTAAAATTCACATTACACACACATATATACATAAGGATAAATAGTAATTTGCAACCTTTACTATACGCGAACTTGGAGTTTGCAACCTAAAGAATTTTTTGTACTAAATTGTAACCTTTAATACACGATTTGTCTATATCGCAACTTCCGACCGTCGGAGGTCTATTTTTCACCGGAAAAGCAAGCATGCCACACACGTACCGAATTTAAGGGCAAAACTGTCATTTTATCTCTCTTCATCCTTTCTCTTTCATCCTCTCTCTCTCTCTCTCACACTCTCTTCAGGCCACCATAGTACCTCTCCTTCTCCTCCTCCCTGTCACGGCGGTTGTACTCCGACGGCGGCCTAATCACCTGAAGTCCCTCATCACCCGTCACAATATGGCCCCTCTCATTGTTTTGCCCCTGAAGCTTCCTTGCAGTCTCCTTGCCCACCTTGAAAACCTCTGCAATAGTCTCTGTACAGAAACCTCTGAAATCATTCCCCAGATGTGGCCGGCCTTGTCCTCTGTGCTGTTCTTGATGTTGTCCTCTTGTCGTATTTCCGGCCAAGAAAAACGACTGCAAATTCGAGTGATTAGTAAATTAATATATCCCTTTCTTTTTTTATTTTTCTTTTTTTTTTTTTAATTCTGAAAAATTGAAAATCGATCTCGAATTAGTAATTGCTCTCAGGTTTTGATCGAGCTGGTTAGCATTGTTGCCATTGTCGTGAAAAACGACGAGCACGAGCACTTCATTTCCATCCTGCAAGGTCAAAAGCGCCACAATAGATGAGGGCTGCGAGGAAGAAGATGAACAGAGCAAATAGAAATTTCGAACACATATCTTGAAATTTCAATTGTTCTTCCTCTTCAGATCTGAGGCAATAATTTCGACAAATTCGTCTAGATTGAAGTCGAATTTGACTGCGTGAGACTCCACCGGCAACAAAGTATGGCTCCTTTTCCCAGGCACTGTGGCAGATGGCGATTCCCTGCGGTGCCCTTGAATTTGACTATGTGAGAGTGTGTGTGAGAGAGAGAGATGAAAAGAGAAGGATGATGAGAGATGAAATCACATTTTTACCCTCAAATTCGGTACGTGTGTGTGGCATGCTTGCTTTTTCGGTGAAAAATGGACCTCCGACGGCCGGAGGTTGCGATATAGACAAATCGTGTATTAAAGGTTGCAATTTAGTACAAAAAATTCTTTAAGTTGCAAACTCCAAATTCGCGTATAGTACAGGTTGCAAATTATTATTTACCCTATATATATGATATACATATATATATATATATATATATGGCTTTTCGTGACATATATACAAAATTTTTGATATACTCACTGTGGATAAGTTCACATTCACATTACGTGTATATATATATATATATGGCTTTTCGTGGCATATATACAAAAATTGTTAGTTATGTAAAATAATATACAAAAATTCTATGGAATCATCGGATGATTTTCTTATGGAGCTATCCGTCACTTAAAGTATTGTGTCCAAGGTGTATTAATTGTAGGACATGTGTGAATACATTATTTGTGAATAAGTATGTGTAGGGTGTGTAAACTCAATCCTACATCGAAAAATTAAAGGTTGCAAGTCTAATATATAAGCTTGGTGGGCTACTCTTTTTATTGTCAATTGGTTTTAGAATGGAACCTCATTTGAGCTTGCATGTTGGGCTTGATGGAGAACTGAGTTTGAATTGTTGGTCCCAACAAGTGGTATCAGAGCCACAGTTGATAGCCAGTTCGATGTGGATGACGTGGCATGTTCCCCGTGGAGCCGGTGAGACTGCTGGTGGATCCGTGTGCCTTGTGTCGAAAGTCTTCCTGGCGAAAGGATGGTCAGGCAGCATAACGGCGGTACAAGATGATCGGATCGTATAAATTCCGTCCAAGGGGAGGCCCAATGTGGTCTTTTGTTTGAGGGGAGGTTTGTAGGGTATGCAAACACAATCCCACATCGAAAAATTAAAGGTTGCAAGTCCAATATAAGCTTGGTGGGCTACTCCTTCTATTGCCAATTGGTTTTAGAATGGAACCTCATTTGGGCTTGTATGTTGGGCTTGATGGAGAACTGAATTTTGAGTTGTTGGTCCCAACAGTATGCATGTCTTTGTTAGGTCGAAACCTAGTCTACAACAATACACTTTACATAACTAATAGAAATGATGTCAATAAGCTACATATATTTGTAACACATCAATGTGTCAATTTAGAGGTGGCCAAAACACGGGTCGGACCTGGGCTCAGCGGGCCACCGAGCTCGAAATTAGAGACCCGGAAACCAACACGAATCTAGGCTCGTGTTGGGTCGATAGTCCGGCGGGCCGTGCTGGGCCCGACTCGAGTTTGAGACCNCCGGGCCTGCTCTGCGCAGGATCCGTGCCCGGCCGGCGGGCCGGATGACCCGTGGCCACCTCTAGACTGCCATACATGTTGGCACAAAAAAAAAACATAAAATATTGAGATTTCCATTATTAAGTGTACTGCGTATTTTTCCCTAGATTCGGGATAAATAGACGTCATTTCTGTTGTAAAAATTAAAATTAATTATAACAGGCGGATTAAGAACGAGTTTCATCACATATACGTATTAAGATGTTGTAAATAGAAACCACAAACATTAACTACGGGAACGTGAGATGAAACCAGATTTCTATTAGTAAATAAATAAATTTATTATATAATAAATAACTTAACTGACAGTTCTATATGACATAGAACACGAATAGCCGAATCACAGAAAATCTGTTTGCCTTGAAGAAACAGACGCCCCGATACTGTGCAAGGAGTACTACGCCTTTTCTCCCAGGATAAGACGGCTCAAAGTGTGAAGACTGCACTATCTAACACACTCACCTCGATCAAAATCTTAGTCGCCAAGAACCCTTAATTTTTCTTAGACTTGTAGAGGATGAAATAGAATAGTATATGTTCTTTTTATTTTCCTTCAGGTGTGTATCTCGTATGTCTCCCATGCACTATATAAGTGCTTCAAAGTCATCTTCATTGAATGCATGGGAGATGTCTTAATGCTATCATTAAGACAAGAGTAATGAAACTTTGAGTTTCATTCACTTCTCAAAACCGAACAAACATAATGCTCGGTTATGCCTTTCAATGAGTTGGGACATTTACATTAAACACATCCATTTACATTAAACACATTCTTTTATCTAAGGATTCCCACAATATACATTTTCTCATTTTGCATGTAACTTTTATTACAACATCCCCCACAAATCCTTAGATAATAATTATCAGGGTCATCATAAATTGCTTTCAGTAATGATACCTTCCGGTTTGAACCACCACCTAAGTTATCCAACTTCTGTCATCACCGAAATGAATGGATCTAAGCCTTGAATTCATGTCGTGAGTGTAATGACATTCATTAGTAACAACAACTTATAGACTATGTTTTGATCTTTAGGGTTGACACATTAAGGTCATATGTCAGGATCCTGTTTCATGAGTATCTTCAAGGCAATAACCCTTTCCCCTAGTCACGGCCAAACAACTATACTCATTAAGTTGGGCATCTCCAAAGATGCACTGCTTACATCTTGTTTAGAAAACTCGACCCCATTCAGAGATAAACTCTTACTATACTTGCAGTTAACAGCACCTTCCAGGTATTCTAGGGAAAGAACTCATCATACTTTATATATAAAGTATCAGTCTTGTAATTTTAGGTGCACAATGATACATTCAACAGCTTGTTTATACCACATTGAACCTTCCTTGTGGGATCTCCACTTGGAAGGTTGGGTTGCTACTGCAGATGTATCTCTTATGGGTTATTCAGTCCCATCCCTAACCTGGAATTTTGGAATAAGGATAGATCAAGTCCTTTAGTCAAAGGATCAGCCAAGTTGACTTTAGAATTAACAAAGTCAACGGCCATAACCTTTGATACGTGAGAAATCTTATATTTATTTGTGAGTTAATTTGCATAATTTAGTATTTGAGTTAAGTTTATTATTCAAGTTTTCTCACGTATTTTATTTTGTGAACGGACGTACACCAATATTCGATTTTGTGTTTATTTCCAGTTATTACGCCCGATTTGCGACGTGGCATTGAGGTGGCAGTTGACTAGGCAAGGATGTGGAGTTGAATTTATTTGACAAAGACTTAAAAGAAAAGGGGCCTATTTTGTTCAAATTGTACGAGGAGGGACCGAATTTCTCAAGTGCTTCATCCTTATGTTTAATCAGGTAAACATAACAATACTTACTATAATCATCTATAAAAGTGATAAAGTATCTTTTAAGGTCTTTAGTCACAATTCCATTGAACTCACAAATATCAGTGTGTACTAAATCAAGTAATTCAGAATGCCTTTCTATCGAGTGATAAGGCTTTCTTACTTGTTTTGCTTCAACACATACTTGACATTTGTGATTACGTTCAACATCGTGTTTTGGAATTAAATTAATATTCATCATTCTCTTAATAGAACCATAATTTAACTGACCCAAACGTTTATGCCATACAGAAGAACTCTCTGTAACATTCATAACAATATAATCTGCAAAATCAAATTTATTACCAGAACCAGCATATTCAACACGAATTTTAAATAGACCATCAGACAAATAGCCTTTGCCAATAAATAAATTATAATGTTGAATAACAACTTTATTCAATTTAAACGAAAGCTCATAACCCTCTTGGACTAATATAGAACCACTAATAATATTTCTCCGTATTGTTGGGACGTGGTGCACCCTCTGCAAAGATAAAATGCGCCCTGAAGTAAACTTCAAGTTCACGCATCATATCCCAAGCACCTACACTTGAGTTTCCCGTCGCTACGGATTTTCCATTAATTGGCTGATAAGACACAAAAAGCAATTTATCAGCACAAATGTGCATATTTGCTCCAGTATCTATTAACCAATCAAACTGTTCATAGACATTCAAAAGCTCAGGTTGTAAAGAAACAAACCCGTCAATAGTTGTCTCTTGAGCGCTAGCATTGCTAGGTTCACCAACAACCATATTCGCCACAGGTTTTTCAGCGAGTCCAGGTTTGACCTTAGCTTTCTTCGTCGGACAATCTTTAATCCAATGTCCAACCTGTCCACAGTTCCAACATGGTTTGTTTGCTTTGGGTTTCTTATTTTTAGCCTTAGCCTTGTCTTTATTTGCCATTTTGACATTTGCATGGTTCACTTTTCTTTTTCCCATTATCATATTAGCCTTTGGTTCAAATGGCATATTATGAACTTCTTTTCGATGTTCTTCTTCTATGTTGATTGATATCATTAAATCATCCAAGGTCAATTTCCTTTTTTGATGCTTCAATGACATTCCAAAACTTTCCCAAGACTTTGGAAATTTATCAATAATTGACATAACCAAAAACATTTCAGGGAGTTTCATATCAGCATCAGCGAGGGAATGTTCCAAGTTGATCAATTCATGTGTCTGCTCAGATACAGACTTTCCTTCAGCCATCTGATATTTTAGGAACTTAGAAACAGAATACTTTTCGAGACCTTGCTCTTCAGTATTATATTTCTTGTCCAACTCATCCCACAACGACTTTGCAGTGTACGAATCAGAACAATAAACATCAAAGAGTGTATTTGACAAAGCTGACAAAATAGCTCCTCGACCAATTTGATCTCTTTCGTTCCACTGAGCAATTTCAGCTGTTTTGGGATCATTATCAGTTGGTTCAGGCCTAGCCACCTGAATTATCGTCAAAAGTCCTTTCATCGTAAGCCAAATTTTCATTCGTTGTTGCCAACGTTTGAAAAATTGCCCCGAAAATTTTTCCGGTAAGCCGGATAAATTTACTTTTGAATTCAACATAGCATTAATTGATATGGTGCCAGAACCACTTGCCATAATGATAAATTGAGAAAAAAAAATAGTAAAACAAATACGTATAACACTTTTGAAAAATCTCGTTTTAATTACAAAAATCTGTTTCTTCAAGATTGTTGTAAAAATTAAATTAATTATAACAGGCGGATTAAGAACGAGTTTCATCACATATACTTATTAAGATGTTGTAAATAGAAACCACAAACATCAACCACGGGAACCTGAGATGAAACCAGATTTCTATTAAATTTATAATTAATTTTATTATACAACAATTTCTGTCGAACGTGTGTTGCATACTTGCATCTAATCACTTTTCTTTTTTAACATTTTTTACCTTCTTTTAATTTTTATACTCATTTTCTTTTTCCTCATGATCAATTATCCTAGACTCGAGTACTCATAAGTCATATCCAACTTGGATATGATGAATAAGACTAAAACATGTGAAGGAGCCTGAAATGTTGATCTCAACATCTGAATATTATGAACACATAAATATTATCTATGGCCCATGCTGTTATAATATCTTTGAGTTGAGGCCAGGCGACCAATAAATTTCTTGCTGTTTTATCTCAATATTCCAAATGCTTGGTTCATATTGAGGCATTTAAATATATTGAGGCATTTAAATATATATTGGGATAATTATCAGTTGGTCATGTAAATTTGTTAAGACAATAATTCATCTAAAATAATATTTATTAGAAGGACAACGAACATAAATTAAGTATTGTGCATTAATTATCCAAACCCCTTAATCTTTGAATCAAATTATATTTCATTCCAAAATGATTAAATCAAACCATTCTATTGCCAATAAATAACACAACGTAAACTATTTCAAAAATGAATTTTGGGAGGAAAAAAAACTCTGAAAATTAAATACTGGTATGCATTTAATTCCATGAATTATTGGGCCCTTTTTTTCAAAATTAACATACTACTGTATCATTTAACTATT